GTGTGTTTGAGTGTGTGTATGTGTTTGAGTGTGTGTGTGAGTTTGAGTGTGTGACTGTGTGTGTGTTTGAGTGTGTGTATGTGTTTGAGTGTGTGTGTGAGTTTGAGTGTGTGACTGTGTGTGTGTGTTTGAGTGTCTGTGTGTGTTTGTAAGAGTGAGGGTGTTCATAAGCCAGGGGCCTACTGGCCTGGGCGGTGATGGCTTGTTTTCTCTTTGGCAGGTCCATGGATCGAAAGATGTGGATGGGTTCTACCACGGGGAGAGTAATGGCAGAGCGGGCCTGATTCCCTGTAACATGGTGTCGGAGATCCAGGCTGACGATGAGGAGATGATGGATGAGCTGGTGAAGCGGGGTTACCTTCCTCTCAGCACTCCTGTGGAGAAAATTGGTATTTGCTGATTGTTAACTTCAGAGAGAGTTGTCCTGACTGGCACCTTCTGCGTTCATTTGCAGCCTTTTCAGACCCTGCTCCAGATCGACACTCCACACCGATTGGATGTACATGCTGGAGATGTTCTGTCTACCTGAATGTTAACGTTTAACTTACCCAGATCTCAGTTTGGTGCTTGTTGAGGAAACCCCAGGCAGAGAAGCAGCATCTTATGACACAGGGGCTGAGTCAGGTCACCACAAAACCCACAAATGAGCTGGCTGTAATGTGGTGGGGTATAGACCTACAAGAGGGCCAGAGGACGTGTGAATGGCCTGGATAATGGCTGTGCAAACTACATGCTGATGATTACTCTCAACAATTTGCCATGTTAATGAGCTGACTCTGGTCAGATCAGTCTGTGTGATAGACAGCTCCCTTTAGCAGCCTGGTCCATTCCCCATGACCAGGGTCAAAGGTACACACTGTCTCAGTGTAAAGCCTGAGCCTGAGAACCTGTAGCCTCTTTGCTGACATTGTGCTTTCATTCTGACAGTCTATGAACACAGTAATTTACACCATTGAAGGTGTCACAGTGAATCCTCTGGTTGCTTCACATTTTCTCTTGTTCTTTGTTTTTATTGAAATGCATCCCTTTCCTGAAGTGAATTCTGAGCGTGACAAAGAGACCACACGCTCTGTTAACTGCAGATCCCGCAAGTCTAAACGAGGTCTGTGGAAACTCACTTGTTCAATATCAGTCATGTGCTGTTTGTTCCATTTTACTTTGTGTGCAGATTTACTTTGGGTTGATGAAGTGTAAAGTTGTGTTTCTGTTTCTTTATTTTGTATTTCAGTCCTGTTCCAACTTGAACGCAGAGTGGCTGTGTGTGAGGCTGTCTGTGAGGGAGTGGGGGAGTGTGTGGGTGGAGGAATTGGGGTAGGTGGGGGTGGGGTGGGGCTGTGGTATTGGTCATAGTGGTGCTGAGGTTCAGTGGAGCATCAGACTCTGATTGTCTAATCATTAGCTGGTTACTCAATGTTCAGCACCATTTGCAACTCCTCAGATACTGAAGCAGTCCATGTTCACATGCACCAAGATCTGGATCTTCTTCTGTTATATCGATGACTGTATTGGTGCCGCCCTCATGCTCCCACGAGGAGCTCGAACAGTTCATCCACTCCAGGAACACCTTCCACCCCAACCTTAAGTTCACCTGGACCATCTTAACACCTCTCTCACCTTCCTGGACCTCTCTGTCTCCATCTCTGGAGACCACCTGGAAACTGATATCTATTTCAAGCCCACTGACTCCCACAGCTACCTAGAATACACCTCCTCCACCCACCTTCCTGCAAGAATGCCATCCCCTATTCCCAATTCCTCCGCCTCCGCCGCATCTGCTCCCAAGATGAGGCATTCCACTCCCAACATCCCAGATGTCCTCTTAATTCAAGGACCGCAACTTCCCCCCTTCGGTGGTTGAAAATGCTCTCAATCGCATTTCTCACGTTTCCTGCACTTCTGCACTCTCATCCCCTCCCCCCAGCAAAGACAGAATCCCCCTTGTCCTCAAATATCACTCCATTAACCACTCTCTGGGTGACATGTCCATCCTGGGCCTCCTCCAGTGTCACTATGATGCCACATGGAAACTGGAGGAACAGCACCTCATATTCTGCCTTGGGACCCTACAGCCCAATGGTCTCAACGTGGACTTTACCAGTTTCAAAATCTCCCCATCCCTGGCCTCATCCCAAGACCAACCCTCCCTCTTATCCCCGCTTCCTTGACCTGTCCATCTTCTCTCCCACCTATCTGTTCTTCCCACTTCACTGACCAATCCCCACCACTCCCTACCTGCACTCACCTATCGTCATCCCAACTACCTTCCCCAGCCCCAACCCTCCTCTCTCTACTAATTTCCCAGCTCCCTTCCCTGCCTCCATCCCCCTCCCCCATTTCTGAAGAAGGGTCCCAACCCAAAACGTCAGCCTTCCTGCTCCTCTGATGCTGCCTGGCCTGCTGTGTTCATCCAGCTCTACACTGTGTTATCTCAAGATCTGGACAATATCCAGGTTTGGGCTGACAAGTGGCAAGTAACATTCATACCACACAAATGCCAGGCTGTGACCATCTCCAACAATGACAATCTCACTGACATTCTGGATCTTCCTCCGTTATATCGATGACTGTATCGGCGCTGCCCTCTTGCTCCCACGAGGAGCTCGAACAGTTCATCCACTTCACCAACACCTTCCACCCCAACCTTAAGTTCACCTGGACCCCTTGACATTCAATTACCATCACTGAATCCCCTGTTATTAACATCCTGGGGGTTACTATTGACCAGAAGCTCAACTGGACTTACCACATTAACACCGTGGCTACAGGAGCAGGCAGAAGCTGGGAATACTGCAGCAAGTAACTCACCTCCTGACTCCCCAAAGCCTGTCCCACCATTTACCAGGCACAAGTCAGGAGTGTGATGGAATACTCCCCACTTGCCTGGATGGGTGCAGCCCCAACAACACTCAAAAAGCTTAACACCATCCAGGACAAAGCAGCCCCCGCTTGATTGGCACCACATCCACAAACATCCACTCCCCCAACTACCGACGCTCAGTAACAGCAGTGTGTACTATCTACAAGACGCACTGCAGAAACTCACCAAAGATCCTCAGACAGCACCTTCCAAACCCACAACCACTTCCATCTAGAAGGACAAGGACAGCAGATACATGGGAACACCACCCCCTGCAAGTTCCTCTCCAAGCCAACCACCATCCTGACTTGGAAATATATCACCGTTCCTTCACTGTCACTGGGTCAAAATCCTGGAATTCCCTCCCTAAGGACATTGTGGGTCAACCCACAGCACAGGGACTGCAGCGGTTCAAGAAGGCAGCTCACCCCCACCTTCTCAAGGGGCAACTAGGGACGGGCAGTAAATGCTAGGACCATCCAGTGACACCCATATTCCATGAGGGAAGTTTTTTAAAAAGCTCCAGGAATCTAGACTTGACCCCATTTCTCAAAAAAATCCAGTCACATTGCTTAGACTAACCTTGACTTCCCCAATCCACCTCTGCTTCATTTGAGGGATGGAGGGGAGTGTCCCAGTCTTATTTCCCTCACACATTGGCAGTTGCTGGGTTTCTGGTGCCTCTTTGAGGAGGTGATCAGACCTTCTATGTGCTGGTGTGTCTGGGTTACAAAGTAGACAATATTGTGACAGTGTGGATGTACAGGGTTTACCAACTTTCCAGGAGTGTTCTGGAGTCCCCAGGAATTAAAAGTTAATCTCCTGCGGTGAAAATATCAGCTAAATTATATATTTGAACATTTTTCTTTAATATTAATAAAACTATTCACAGATCTTGGGAGTCATCATGTGAAGCAGTCATGTGATCAAACTCCAGGAATGTGTCTAACCAGAGCTGGTAACCCTGTGTGTGTGTGTGTGTGTGTGTGTGTGTGTATGTGTATATGTGTATGTGTATATGTGTATGTGTATATGAGTGTGTGAGTATGTGCGTGTGTGTGTGTATGTGTGTGTATGTGCGCACGCGTGTGTGTATGTGTGTGTCCGTGTGTGTGTGTATGTGTGTGTGTATGTGCGCACGCGTGTGTGTATGTGTCCGTGTGTGTGTGTGTATGTGTGTGTCTATGTGTATGTCTGTGTGTGTGTCGTGTGTGTGTGTGTGTCTGTGTGTGTGTCAGTGTGTGTGTGTCTGTGTGTGTGTGTGTCAGTGTGTGTGTATGTGTGCATGTGTGTGTATGTGCATGCGTGTGTGTTTGTGAGTGTACGTGTGTACCTGTGTGTGTGTGTGTGTGTGAATGAGTCTGTGTGCGCATGTGTGTGTGTGAGTGTGTATATGAGTGAGTGTGTGTGAGTGAGTATGTATATGAGTGAGTGTGTGTGTATGTGTGTGTGTGTGCATGTGTGTGTGTGTGTGTGTGTGTGTGTGTATGTATGTGCATGTGTGTGTGTGTGAGTGAGAGTGTGTGTATGTGTGAGTCAATGTCTGTGTGTGAGTGGGTGTGTGTGCACACGTGCAGATATTAAAACACACAGTCAGAGAGCCCTCAGTATCTGGGACAGCCTCCATCAGGTCAATGTGCTTTGTTGAGATTGTAAGGTTAACAGGCAGATTCAGTGCATTTACTCCAGGCTCATTGTGGCTTCAAGCCCCAATTCAGAAGCTGAGCACAAAAACCATCCTGGGTGGTAGTGAGAGAGTGCTCAGCTGTCAGAGAAGCCGATGTGAAACCCATGCTCCATCTTAACCTCTACGGTAAACAGAACAGATCCCACAACATTATCTGATGAAGTTCTCCTCTCTGTCCTGGGCTAATAACTGCCCCTTAATGAAACCTACAGACAGTCACATTGCTGTTTGAGGGATCTTGTTGTGCACAATGTGGTGGCTGTGCTTCATACACAACAGCAGCGACCACGCCTTTTATTAAAAGGAGAGTATCCCATTGGCTGTGAAGTGGCCCTGGAGAGATCAGGAGAAGTTTCTTGTTAACATTATTGGAATGACCAAATGGTTGGGCCTGGGGTTTATTAGCCCCTGACACAGGGTAATCTTTCCCCTGCCCCTGCCTCTGATTGGTGGAAGGATTTGGAAGATATCTGTCTCTGGTTTGTGTTTCTCACCATCCCAATGGTTGATATTTGGTTTCTATCAAATTAGCAATTGTTTCTGTTCTCAGTAAAACCACAGCTCAATTCTCAAAATGCTGGCGGTGGGGTTGGTGGAGGAGGGGAGGAGGATGTGGCAGTATTTAACACTGATCATGTCTGTGTATACTTTTGTGTTTTACAACAGAGAGGAACAGGAGGAGTAACCAGCAACGCTCAATCACCAGTCGGAGAATGGTGGCCTTATACGATTATGATCCGAGAGAGAGCTCACCTAATGTCGATGTGGAGGTACCTGTTTTAAATCAGCCTCCTTTCATATAATTGTTTCATGGGATGTGTGTGTCATTGGTATTGGTTCCTCCCTAACTGCCCTTGAACTGAGAGGCTCACTGGAAGCATTTCAGAGAACGGTTAAGAATTAACCTATTCTGAGGACGTGTCACTCAATCCAAAACGTTAACTCTGATTTCTCTCCACAGATGCTGCCAGACCTGCTGAGCTTTTCCAGCAATTTCTGTTTTTGTTTAAGAGTTATCCACAGTGTTGTGAGTCTGGAGTCACATGTAGGCCAGACTGGGTAAGGATAGCAGATTTCCTTCCTTCCCTAAAGGGGCTTTAGTGAACCAGATGGGTTTTTATCACAGTTAATGATCATTTCCTGCTCATTATGACTGAGACTAGTTTCAGTTGATTAATTAAATTCTAAATGCCAGCTGCAGCTATTGTACCTGGGTCTCCAAAGTTTTAGTCTCTGTCTCTGCATTACTGTGTCCAGTTATGTTACCACTAGCCCAGTGTCTTCCTTAAACTATTCCAAAGTCCTCTACAAAAAAAATTCATGCTTAAGTTACCTTTCTAACCAACCCTATCATTTCAACAACAAAGCAAGTTTAATCCTGCTCCTCCCAGAAAGGATTTTGTAAAGGGTAAATATGGAGGGGTAAGGTCCAGTTGTAAGAAGTTATTGTGATCTCTAATCTGCTGCCTGAAAGGATGGTTGATGCAGATTTAAACGGACCTTTTAAGAGGGAATTGGAAGAATATTTAGAAAGGAAAAATTTGTAGGAGAGTGGGACTAAATGGATAATTCCTTTATATAAAAGCAAAATTTTGTAGATGCTGGAAATCTGAAATAAAAACAGAAATGCTGGAGGAACTCAGCAGGTCTGGCAGCATCTGTGGACAGAGAAACAGTTAATGTTTCAAGTCCAGTGTTTGGGGTTGTGTGTGAAGGGAAATAAAACTGGGGAAACACAGTTCAATAGCACCAGTTCATAGGGTCCAACAGGATGTTCCTTTTGCTTCC